AATTTTTGTGTGCAAAATAGTGTTCCAAGAAGAACACTATAAATTTGGCATAAGTGTCAAAGGTGGACTGAAGGCAAGAACACAACAGCAGTGAGATGTCAGGGCTTTCAAAGAAAGTGAGGATTTAAACGGTGATGCACAAGATATGATATGGGGTGAGGAAGAGTGCGCAGGAATGGGAGCATGTGAGGGTAATGCTAATGGGATGTGGTAGTTTCTTACTGCTGTTGTGAGAAAACTATTGGGGTTTCATGGCTTAAAACAACACAAATGTATTATCTTCGAGTTTTGGAGGTCAGAGTCTGAAGTAGTTCTTAGCAGGCTGGCTCAAAGTGTCAGCAGGGCTGTGTTTCTCTGCGGAGTGTCTGGAGAAGAAATCTATCCTCTTACCTTTCCTGCTTCAGTGGGCTGCCCACATCACTTGGCTTGTGGCCCCTTCCTCATCTTCAGAACCTGCAGCTGCATCTTAAAATCTCTGACTCGCCTGCCTCAAACTTTCTGTCATAAGGATTCTTATGATTACATTGTATGTGCTTAGTTGCTCAGTTGCGTCTGACTCTTTGTGACCCCATAGACTGTAGTTCGCCAGGCTCCTCTGTCCATGGGATTTCTCAGGCAAAAATACTGGAGTGGGTTGCCATGTCCTTCTCCAGCTGATTTTCCCAACTCAGGGATGGAACCTGAGTCTCCTGCATTGGTAGGTGGATTCTTTACCACTGAGCCATCAGGGAAGCCCTCTGATTACTTTAGGATCACCCAGATTATTCAGGATAGTCTCCAGATATATAACTTACTCACATCGCCAAATCCCTCTTGTCATTTGAGGTCACATAGTCGCAGGTTCTAGGGAATAGGATGGGACATCCTTGTAAGTCTTTATCTTGCCTACTGCATGGAACGTGGCCATCGTTTGCTGATTGCCTAGGATTTGGAAGAGAGGTGAAAAAGCCTGGAGTAGTCAGATCAACCTATCTGTTTCATTTTGTCTGTATAATAGGTGTGGGCAGGGGCACGGGAGTAGGATTCCCTTCCAAGTGTAACAGCCTGACTAGAATGTCAGCTCCATGAAGACCAGATCTGTGTCTGTCTTGTTCACTACTGTGCCCTCTTCATTGTCTAAACCAGTGACTGGGACTTTCATGGTGCTTACTAATTATCTGTTGAATGAAATATTTGTTGCTGAATGAATGACTGAGTTGGGAAAGCTTGAGGCAGGGCACTAGGCAGAACTCTCCACTGTCTCCTGTCTGCATTAAGTTCCTGTTTTCTTGGTAAAGTTAGGTTTTCAGCTCAGATTGTAGATGGTCTGGAATAGCGTCATAATGATAGAGACATTCTGCTGGTGGGAGAGAGAGACAGCTAAGATTGTAGAGGCTTTTTCTTCTCTGTCTGACTTTGAGCCTCCATGCCGAGCATCCCCTGGAACTAGGAACAGGGAGAAGCATAGAAACTGATGTATGGCCTCAATGAAGGTCGGGGCAGCTGCTGATGGAGGAAGAAGTCGTTCGCTATGGCATTGATCACTTGTCCCTGCAGCGACCAGCTGTCACATTCCTCATTGCTCACCCAGCCAGAGCCAAGTCTTGCCCTTTGCATTCCTAAAAGAACACTTGACCCTGTGAGGACATGATATGCATTTATGCTGTGAAAAGTGTCAGTGAAATAGAAAACCGAGACGCTTCTTGATGCTTTAAAAGATAGCATTTAAAAAAAATAGCATAAAGCATTGGTGTTCGAGGGCCCTGCAGGTAGTCAGCGGGTAAGCAGAAGTGATTGGGCTTCTGATATGGAAGCTAACATGTTTAGGGGCTTCGCCTCTCAGGTATGAGGTCTGACAAATACTTTGAATAAAAGCTGTCTTTGTAAACTGACAACTTTAAAAACTTTGAAAACCTTGTCTTGAAGGAAATTAACTAATTTGTTGAAAGGAGCAATAGTTGATAGAAAAAGGAAAGACTTTTTATTAACACAAGGAGGAAATGGGGTACATGCTTTGCTGGGCTCTTTGAAATTTGGAGAATCCAAGTCTTCTGGTCTTTTACTGTTTTATGTCACCTTGGACAAACACTGTACCTTTTCTCAGATTTTTATCTGTTGTCTTTATCAGTGCTGTTTTAAAAATGTCATCCATCTAGGTACTGAGGCACATGTAAGTTTTTTTTTTTTTTTTAATTTTTTTTCACATGTAAGTTTTATATTTTCCTGGTCTAACAGTCTCTTGAAAGAACTTGGCTGTTTTTTTGAAAGACTATATTATTTCTATTTATCATCCCTTAAATTAACCTCTCTATCTAAATCTATAAGATTATTAGTAAGAGAAATAATTGGTTACCACAAAGGATGGAAAATTCATCATTGGAAGTCCTTATTCCATAAAGTTGCCTAATGATTAATATCTTGTTGTAATGCTAAGGAAACAAAATTAAATATAGGAAAGAGCTGGTTTTCAGGGTGTACACAGTAGGTTTTAAAGCCTGTGAACAAGATTTCTGGTCAGTTTGCCAGACAGAACAAATGCAGAACACCACCCCACCCCATCCCTATTCTGCAAACAAGTGGAGGATAAAATTTCACCAAAAGCGATTTTTAAAATGACAGATGATCTCAAGAAAGGGAAAACTCAGGTATTAGATGGAAGGAGGGGAACTCAGGGTAAGCAATGTGAGTGACCAAAGTCCAGATGGAGTACCGAGTGGTGAGAAAGTCTGTGGGTAACAATAGGGGCGGGAGAGGATGAGTTCCCTCTGCAGGAGGCGTCCGGGGAGGGGAGGGGCTGAGCTCCCAGGGCAAGCCGAGGCTTGTGACGGTTCCATCCATGGAAGCAGGCCAAGAGAACCCCACTGGTAGCCAGAAGCAGTAGCAGGGAAGCTTGCCTCTGTCTGCAGTTGCCAGAGAAAGGAGAGACACCAGTGGCTGGCGAGAGCCGAGCTTGTGCCCCGCAGGGGATAGAGTTCAGATTCACACCCTGAGTGCGATGCCAGGTAAGGAGCAAGTTGTGTGCCCGACACTTCATTCTTCAGGGGACGTGGGAATGTACTTATGCTCAAGAGTATGTTCAAAAAGATGAAGGACAACTGCCACTAGTATGTAAGGGAAAAAGGAGGCGATACAGGCAGGTTTGAAAAAAAAAAAAAGAATCAAATAGAAATTCTCAAAATGGAAGATACTTACTGAACTCCATGAACACTGTTGTGTTGGTTGAAAATTGTCTTCCTTATTGGTACATTGTTTCATTAGTACATGGTTCCAGATACAAACAGCAGATCAATACATACTTTTTTTTTTTTTTACTGTATAATTATTTGAGGAGGTTTGCACAACAGTCTCTTTATCTGTTTTAATCTCATTTTCTTGAAAATGGAGATTTAAATCTTTTATCAAATGCTTAGACAAAAACTCAAATGTGATCATTTGTGAGAAACTTTCTCTTTTATGCATATTTGGTCACCCTTCTGTGCCCTTAGCAATCTGTTATAAAAGTAATCCTGTCATCCTCTATACTGTTAAGTGTATGTTTATGTGTCACCCATTCTTGAGCTCTTCCAGGTAGCCTTTCTTCCAGTTTCATCACTCCTTGGTACACAGCAGGCCCCACAGTATTGTTGAGTAAAAGGATGAAGACGTAAAGTCACCCAGTTTTACCGGTAGCACTATGTATCAGACCCCAGACCTTCCTGAGGCTCCCCTCAGTTGTGTTTAAGTGAGTGTGTCTGCTGCAATCCTGATGTTCTGACCTCAGACAAAAGCTTCTGTAAGCATTTAGTCATTGAGATTGGAGCCTTGGGAAATCTGTTAACCAAGAACTAATGAGTGTAAGATAGGTACGGGATAATTGGATGATTCTGCTTTTTAAAAGTCAGTGTCCTTGTACACTGTCATGGGGTTGTAAAGAAATGTGTTGAGAAGAGCAGAAAACCGCATCAGACAAGAATGTTTCCCCTTCCTTGCTCCCCTTCCCCTTCACAGGATTACTTCCTTGTGTTAGAGAGGAATTTTGTTTCCATTTCTTAAAGCTAAGGGACTAGGATGAGCTAAGAAAAAAGGATGAACTGTCCACACAAAACTAAGGACTTTATTCCTCAAATATAATCATTTAGAGCATTATAGCTTTCTCCACTAATTAAATTGCAGAAGGAAGAAAAGAGTGGAATTTTTAGTAATAAAGAGGAAGCAAAAGTAAGTTGAAGGTCTTTATAAAACTGAGGTAATAATGGAAACTAAGTTGGAACTAAATGGGTAAGTAAAATATACTTTAAGCAGAAAAATGAGAAGGTTTTTAGGAGTCTTGGTAAGTGTTTTGTGGAAATGTAAGGCACATTTCCAGAGTTTAGCTCAGTCTTCTTAAGATGTAGTTTATCTTTCAAACACTTTCTGATTTGAAATCAGGCTCAGTCTGTTAATTTCTTGTTTGATTTTTCAATAAAACTTCTTCCCCCCCAAATAAGTCTGTTGATGGTAAGATAATTTTCAAGGTCAGAAATTTCCAAAGAAGTTAGACAACATTCCTACATTAGGAATTATTTTTACCCTAATTGGTTCTCCTGTATTTTAAATTCTGTGACTGGGCTGTTGGTCCTGTTTCACTTGCAATAAAATAACATTTAGCCCATTTGAAATATTATAGTTAAAACCAATATAAAATGTTCATTTTGTCATATATTTTATTGAAATGTAATATAAATTGTGTTTATTTTTTATTAAAAAGTCATGAAAAATACAATAAAAGTGATTGCCAATAAATTTCTTTCACAGAGCAGCATGAAATTCCAAAATAAAATATAGTTTGGGACTCAAGAAATTAGAAACATTGAACTCTTATGAGGAAAAAAAATCTTATAAAATGCTAGGGAACTAGTTTCAATGCTGAGGGATTTAATTTTGTAGCTATTTGTTTTCATTTTGTAGCTTATTGCTATTTTAAAGCACATGTAGAAATTCTTCTGTAAACATGCTTTGGTGAACTTATACCAATAATTTCTGTCAATGAAATTATCAATGTTCTCTTCTTTTACCAGGTTGTTGGTGTAGCCCAGGCCATCAACAAGAAATCAGGAAATGGTGGGACATTCACTGAAAAAGATGAAAAGGTACCAAAATTTGTGCCTGGTATGATCTCAATTTAGGAAGATGCTTTCTCTTTAGTTGTCAAAACTGTTGATCACAAAAGCAGTATGGTTTGAAAGGATCTGAAATCTTCAGAGGGGTCTCTTTCCTCTGGCTAAATCAGTACTGACCTGTGGTCCTCAGTCCACAGAACCCCCGCCCCCAAGCCTTCCTCACCACGCCCCCAAGCCTTCCTCGCCACGCCCCCAAACCTTTCTCGCCACGCCCCCAAGCCTTCTTCAGGGCTGTGTGTATGCTGGGGCTATCCAGAGAGTGACATGATATTTTAACTCTCCCATTTACTTTTCATCACTGCTATAAAGAAATTCAACATTAAGTTAAAAAAAAAAAAAAAAAAGCCCTAAAGCACTGCTCCAAGTTCAGCACTCCAGGTTCGCTAAAAATTGGAATTGCCTCCTGGTGAAGCAAATTTCAGAGTATTTTATAAGCTTTGCACACAGACGATGGGGCGCCAAGGTGTGAATTCAGGCTGGATGATGTGAATTTAGCTTCAGAAAGGGCGGCAGTCAGCGTTATTTTATTACCTTTCTCGTCCAACTCTGAAGGGATAGATTTCTTGCACCACATCGATGTGTTTTCCGTTAAGGACGGAAGCCCTGAAACCTGTTTATAACTTCATTCTGTCAGTAGGTTTTATTATTTCTCTTCCTGGATATGTAATTATATGTATATCATGGAGCCCACTGAATTCTTCCTCTTAAAGCCCGTTGCTATTTCTGTCCCTCCACTGAAAATTAGCAGGAACTTTTGGAAGACATTCCAATAGGACAGAGTTATTTTTGTCTCCTGCTGTAGGCTGTATTGGCACTGGTGTTGGTCCCCATGTCTTAATTGCTTCGGAACATAGCAAGTACCTTTTTAAATGTGTAGTAGTCATCTAGTCTCCTATTCTGTTAATGACATCTGAGAATATTTGGTGGGAAACATGGTCCTAGATTGGCTGTTTATTCGATTATTTGTCTATAATCCATTCAGGTAAACCCCTCTTAAAAGATTGTCATTCTTAGTCTGTATCATCTCTTGGCAGAATAAATTCATGATTGTGAATAAAATATGCTACTTCTTTTAATCAATAATTACTATTAACTGTGAACAGATCACCTTGGTATAGTATTGTGAGGGTGGTAGGCCCGTGTTTAAAAGAATATATTTAATATTTGCAACTTAGTATGGGACTGCTGTTGCCAGTATTCATTCTAACAAGTATGTGAGCTTTCAGTTTGCCCCAGTAATAAGGTACGGACTATTTCTATAGTCTTAGCTTAAATCCAAGTCTTAATATCATTTAGAGACTACACCAACTTTTGCATAAAGTAAATTCCAATATCAAATCATGTAAAGAGGTCTGTGTCTCTTTCTCCTTGCTTATTTTATAACTATTTTATGAAGTTAGGCAATTTTATTAACACTTGTCATCTACTGATTGTATCATTTAGCTAACACTTGCTTTGCATCAGTTTCTAATTTTATGCAGAATAAACATCTACTGTGTTTATTTGGTGCTGTTGGTTTTTTAATATTTATTTAAACTATAAATATTTTTGGATGCTGTTTGTGTTTCCAGCAATATAACAAGACAGGTTTATTGACAGTTCTTACTTGGCTGTTGTCTGTTTTCTAGGACTTTGCTGCTTACTTGGCATTTTGTGGAATTGTTCTTCATAATGCTCAACTCTATGAGACTTCACTGCTGGAAAACAAGAGAAACCAGGCAAGTCTGATTATAAAGAGAGAGTATAGAAATTCTTTTTAAGAAAACAGTTAAATTTTTATATTATATATATCATACAGATTCAGTTTCTAAATATTTTAACTGTTTCTACTATTCTAATAGACATTTTTTCCATTTTGTATTTTTCTGTGAGCTATTGCGTTATCACTGTTAACAGATTAAGATTTACTTTTAACTTTACACCATGCTTTGTCATCATGGTAACAGTATTATGATGTCACTGTTTTAAGTTATTGAATGAATTGCACTTGTAATATTAAGGATTTAGTTCTTATTTTATCACTTAGAGATATCATCTCTTGATTCCCTGCTTTATAAGATAAGGATCTTAACATCCGTCATCTCTCCTTCCAAATTACTACTCCTTACCTCTGCTTTTCCTATCTGGATTTTTTCTTTTATGTTGCCCACACTGATAACATGTACACAGATGGTCTTCAATTTACACTAGTTATTTAGACTTACATTTTCAACTTTGTGATGGTACAAAAGCTATACACATTCAGTAGAAACCATACATCACATTTTGAATATTGCTCTTTTCCTGGGATTGTGACATGTTCTCATGTTGCTGGTCAGTGGCAGTAACCAAAGCTCCTTGCAGCCATGCCATCATGAGGGTAAACAACTTAAAACCATTCTGTTTCCCACACAGCCATTCCAGTTTTCACTTTTAGTACAGTATTCAGTAAATTCATTAGATATTCAATACTTCATTATAAAATAGGCTTTGTGTTAGTTGATTATGCTCAGCTGTGGGTGAATGTAAGTGTTCTGAGCATGTTTAAGCTAGGCTGGGCTAAGTTGTGATGTTCAGGTGGTTGGGTATATTAAACAGATTTTTGACTTGCAGTATTTTTAACTTACAATGGATTTATCAAGATGTGACTCCATCATAAATTGAGGAAGATCTGTATTGTTCTACAACCATGATTAACTTTTCTAAAGCTTTGTCTGGATTAATTCCAAAGTTGCAATTAAAAATAAAGTCTTTAATAAGTACTATGATGTAAATATTGCTCGTATTACCTTTGTTATATAATTTAGTTTTTCTTGTTGATTCTGAAATTTATTCCTTTTTCCTTGAACTGTTTGCGCTGGTGTAGCCTCATGTTACTGCCCTCCCCCGACAAACTCTCCATTATTTAGGCATTCTCTGGAGTTCTTCTTTTTCATGGAGAATCTCCAGATTGAGGTTCTCTTTCTTTCTCCTTTTCAGCAAACCTATTTCTCCTCATGCCTGCTGTGTAGGGTTCCTAGTAGAACTTTCCCTCACTGCTTTCTTAGGAAGACTCCAGTAGTTACCCACTGAATCCCAGAGCTCCTTCTTTCTCACTTTACTCCCTTGTTCTGTTGTAGCACATTCTCAATTAACTACTTGCAACAGGTATTGTGATGTGAGCACCTTACATGTATTAAAATATTATTATACCATCCTGCCAATTTGGCTGGGTATAAAAATTCTGCATTGAAAAATGTTTCTCAGAATCTAAAGGTAATGCTTTGTCTTCTGCCAGCAATTGCTATTGTTCTGATTCCTGGAACTCTTTTTTATCTATAAGCTTTTGGGATTATTTCTTTGTCATTGCTCTTGTAACTGAATTTCACAATATGATTCTTGTTTTCATTCATTATGCTTGTACCCGGTCATTCCTTTTGGTCTGGAGATGTAAGCCTTTAGGTTTTATGTATTTCTTTTTCATTATTTCTTTGATAATTCATCCCCCCACCCTTTAATTTCTCTTTTTAGAACTTTTGTTCATAAGACCGTGGACTTGCCATGGCTTTCAACTGCAGCATCTTCCTAACACCTCCCTGCCCCAGTCTCATCACTCATTAATCCAGTCCTCATTTTATGAACACACCTGTGATCTTGTCCCTTCTCTACTACAATCCATCACAGTCCAGACCGCTTCAAAAGGCAGACAGGGCTTTTGGGGTTCTTTCTCTGTTTACCTCTGCAATATCATCTGCCTGGTTTTCCCCTTTACACTCTCTATTCTTAAAAAATTTGATCAAAACTTACAACATGCTACTTTCTCTCAATGCAGTTCTTTTTGACTGTGATATTTTCCTTCCTAACTTCACCTGAATAATTCCTGCTCATCTTTCAGGCCTCACCTGGCATAGTATTGCCTCCAATAAATCTTAAATAATAACCCTTTGTCTCCCCTCCATGCACAGATACTCCTGTGAGACTAGATGGAATTCTGTGGAGTTAAAGGAAAGAGAAATTATCAGGAGAAATGTGAAAGGAACTCTGAAAATTTTGTTTATTTAGGAAAATATTTATTTCATTCTGTGAAAATGTTGGCAATGTTGGTAAATGTTGCTCTCAGAAGTCTGGATCAACAAAAACAATAGTGTGTTTTATGTATCAGACACTGTTCAGTGTTAACTTATTTAGTCTTCACAACAGCCCCATAATTTTGGTACTATTATTCTCATTTTCAAGAAACTAAATCACAAAGCCCACAGGAAGAGAAACGAGAATTAAAAACTCTTGGCTGTGACTTCAGAGTCTGTGATTGTAATCACTGTACTAATTGTACTAACAATCAATAGAGAACTTTTCTTTTTAAACTTGGTTATAATTTGTTAGATTATATATAAACCACTTACAACCCATATAAGTCATTGTATTGCTTTAGTAATTACTAAATCAGAGCTCTTAATTTTTTTGTCTAGGTGCTGCTTGACCTTGCTAGCTTAATTTTTGAAGAACAACAATCATTAGAAGTAATTCTAAAGAAAATAGCTGCCACTATTATTTCTTTCATGCAGGTGCAGAAATGCACCATTTTCATAGTGGATGAAGATTGCTCCGTGAGTACAGAGTATGACTTTTTTATTTTTAGAAAGACAGAAACTTATGGTCCTTAAAGCACTGCTTTTAAACCTCATGTTGGCCTCAGAGCTCTCTCTCAAGTCCAGCTGAACATGGTTGTTTATGCAAAGCTGCTTAAAGAATGAGTCGTTTGGCTGACAAGGGTAGAGGTGCGGTTGGAGGATGCCCCGTGCACCCTCACCTTGTTGACCCCTAGCTGAGTGGTTACCATGGCAATGTCACTGTGCTGCTTTCATCAGTGTCTGCACTACCTTGATGGAGAAGTGCATCGTCATTACAGCCTGCAGACCTTTTTTGGGCAGGAATAGTGGTGCCCTCTTGCTGTCAGCAGGTAGACCTGTTCTGCCTGTTGATTCTGAATGGAATGGGGGTAAAATTTTTTTACCCGAGATCGTGCGGAAATCATAAGGCATGGCCCAATGGAGGCAGTGCTGTTAAAGGTACCTGTGAGTCCCAAATTCTTCACCCACCAGGGAAAGTTGCTTATTTATTCTAAGCGGTAGATTTCAAGCCATTGATTTGTAATGTAAAGAAGTAAGATCTGTGTGGAAAGATGGAGTGTTCTCATAGAGTGCTGGTTACTTACAGACAGGCCAGCTGAGTTTGCTGTTAGCATCAGCACCTTTAGCCTCAGGCTGTTTTCTTTTATGCCATTTCTTTTCCTTCTTAACTGATGAATCACTGCTTTTGGTATATTTCTTTTTGACATAGTTGTTTGTTTTCTTTTTCCTTTAGACCCTGAGAACATGCTCTTCATTGGTGGGTTAGGAAAGAAAATAGGGATTCTCACTTGCATAAAGTCAATTACAATCTGTATAGAATATTTGAATTGATTTTTTTGGGGGGCGGAATGGGCTATAGTCCATAGGATTGCAAAGAGTCAAGCATGACTGAAGTGACTTAGCATTCATGCATGGAGGGAGAAAAAGAATAAAAAATTTTTAATACTTATATTTTAAATTTTTAATTATTTTATTAGATAGGAAGACAGGACTGTGTGCTATAGCATTATTTGAATCATTGTGTTTGTGTGTGTATAACTCTGATTGATAGGAAATCAAATCAGAATTCACTATGCTATAAGTATTCTCATGGAAATTATTTAAAATATTTTCAGTCAGTTATAAACTCCCTAGTATAGAGACAGTTACAAGATTGCAGCTCTCCTTCTGAAGCTCAGGTCTGAATTTACTGCAGGATGTCAGCTCACCGTTTTTGCTCTGTTGACTGCTCTTTGTCATTTAATTTTGGAAAGTTACACACAAGGCACTCTCTTTTTTAGACCATTTAATTATCACTTTAATTAACATTCAGCTTATCCTTCTACCAGTTAACAGCTATCATGGCAGCAACTGACTGGTATCAGAGTTGCTTTAAAGTATAGCTCAGCAGTATGCCCATTAATCTGTTTTGCTCACTTTTTAATGACTTAATTTGTTGGGGGTAGCAATTAAGTGACTTGATGTTCATTTATACTGTAATTATTTTTTGATAAAGACATTTCAACACATGAGCAAAAATCCAAAAGTGAACAAGAAAAAAATGTACTCAGTTCTTCTGTCCCCACATTAAACTGATACCATTGTTTTATTTGTTTCCTTCCAATTTTTTATTCAGTTATAGTATGGGTGCAGATACGTATGCTGCTTTTCAATTTAACATGTAAATCCATGGCTAATTCATTTCAATGTATGACAAAAACCACTGCAATGATGTAAAGTAATTAGCCTCCAACTAATAAAAATAAATGGAAAAATAAATAAATAAATAAAATCTGCTCCAGGAGGGAAAAAAAAAAAAAACTTCAAAAGTATGTCTCTTTATTGCTAAAATCTTCATAATTTAATAATCTCATAAAATGTTATTGAATTGTGTGTCTTTTTTTTAAAGACCCAAGAATAGCAGTAAATGTATGCATAAAAACTGAAACTTGAAGATTTTGACTAAATATACAGAAAATTTGAAGCTAACATATTCATTAACAGCTGGTAGAAAAGCAAAAACAAATAGTACTCAGATAAGTACTTCTGTAGGTCAGTGTCAGAAACAATAGGAGTATGATTCTTAGTAATGGGAAGTAGGTCTGAGAGTGTCATGAAGTGAGTACTTGGGTCAGTTTTGTCTGAGAAAGTGAAAAAGTACAAGAAGTGGTGTCTCAGTTCCACAGACTTACACGTCTGTGTCTAGGTAATTTTCATTGTGTTCTCAAACTCATTTCTCAGTATGTGGTGTTGCTCTGTTTCCAGGATTCCTTCTCTAGCGTGTTTCACATGGAGTGTGAGGAATTAGAAAAATCGTCGGATACTTTAGCACGGTAAGAACTTAACGGTCTATCTGTTGTTTTCACATGTACATAATACTGGTTATATAGCTATTTAATGACCTGTTTAAGTCACAGAAGCTGCAGTTGCCTTTTTCCTCCTACAAGTAACTTCATTTGTGAAAATACTTTACTCTTTGATGTTGTAGTTCCAGGTTTTTCCCACTGCAGCTGACCTGTTGGAGAATTCTTTCACAGAGTCAGTGGTGTCACAATTAATACAGGCCTGGGTGCAGTGTTCTCTGTGAGCTGATTCATTCAAGACCCACAGACATATATTTCAGATGTATTTTTTCTTTGTACTTTGGACCCTCAGTGAAAATTTGATAGGCTTCTGAGTCTTTTCTGATTTGGAAACAGCCTTGGGATTTAACTGACCCCAGAAGGGCGCCTGCAGTCTCCATCACACCAATACACATATGCATGGCGAGAATCGGAAATCTATTGTTCATTTCTTTTTCATGTTCTTTGTAATTTTAAAATTTGTGTTCATTTTTTGTTAGTTGGTACACAGAAACAACAGAAAGTCAAGGTTATGTGTATCATGGTTATAGACGTTATTGGTCCAATTTTATATGTGCTTTCTGAAGAACTTTAAAAAGGATTTAGATTAAACTAACAAATGTTCTGTCTCATATTTCTTTTTGTACCCTTAGCAAAATACTGGTGGTGTTTGCTTAAGCAATTGGATAATCCAAGGAATATAAGTCTGCCAGGGTCAAGTGTCAGGAATTCTTGAGCATAATGCCATTTTATTGTATTTTTCATTATTTATTTCTTTCAATTATTTCACTCCCTAAAATAATTCATGTCAATTTATACTACCCTTTATTAGTGACACTGTAATTAAAAGCCGCATATGATCATGGAAATAGAATATTTAGCTTTACTATTGACATTAAAGTTCCAGAGTTTTTACTCTACAGTTGACCTAGCAGAGAATTATTTCATGTTGGTGAATGATGTCACAGTAATATCCTCAGGAACCAAGTTCCTTGGCGGTAGTTCTTGAAAAACAACCTCTATGCAAATCTATGGAACATTCTGTGAGATAACTGGCCTCGTCTCTTCAAAAAGTCAACAGTCATTGAATAAAATGGAGGGAGGGGCTGTCCTTGGACATAACAGCCAAATGCAGTACATGAACCTTGATTAGATCCTAGTTAAAAACAAATAGCTATCAAAGACATTTGTGAGGATAATTGAAAATCTGAATATAGACTGGATACTGGATATTGGTGTGGAATTATTGTTACCTTTTCTTTGTCATTACTAAGTGGTTAGTAGAAGAATGTTCTTATTTTTAGTAGATTCGTGCTGGATTTTATAAGGGTAAAGTGTTAGGATGTCTACACCTTAGTTTAAAATATTTCAGATGGGCCAGCTGGGGAGGGAGTGGGGTGTAGTGGGGTGGGTGGGTGATAAATTAAGAGGTTGGGACTAAACCTATATATACTACTGAATATAAAACAGATAACCAATAAGGACCTCCTGTATAACATAGGGAATTATACTCAATATTTTATAATAACCTATCAGGGAAAAGAATCTGAAACAGGGAAAAGATTCAGTTAGTATGTTTATACATAACATATACACACATATATACACGTACATAGCATATATACATATACGTATATTGTGTTGTACACCAGAAGCTAACATGACATAGTAAATCAACTGTACTTCAATTAAAAAAAAATTTCCTTCAATTAAAAAAAGGTATTTTCAACAAAAAATAAAATATGGTTCAACCAAAAATAAATAAAACAGTAGATAAATCTAAATATAATAAAGTAAATATATCTAAATTTAGTATAAGTAAATGAATATATTTGCACATATGTAGATATAGCAAATGTGGTAAAATATTAAACATTGTTGAATCTAAGAGTAGGATAATTATTTTGCTTTCAGCTTTCTTATGTATTTCAAAAGTTCACCATAAAAATTTAGAAGAAAATGTTTGTAATAAAAAGCTGGAAATAAAATGAAAATCATCTTTGTAGATCACATAAAGCCAAACTGTCTGAGCTTGCAGCTGCAAGAACAAAATGCTTGCGTGTGCAGCCTGGCTGTGTCCCAGCCCTCCTCGTTAGGACTCACCCCGTGGGTCAGTGTGGGGTCTGCAGACGCTGTCTTCTGCCCGTGTACCCTTTCCTTTCCTCTCTTCCCTTTCATGACATTGCCTGTCTTTTTCTGTGTTCCCCATCAAGATGGAGAAACTGTTGACTCTAGTGGTTTAAAGTTGTTACTTTGTTAAGTGATTGTATTTAAATCAAAACATTATATTAAGAGTATTATTTTAACAATATGATACAGTGAAAGACCTTTTCTTCTAATGGAAGTGCTTCAGGAAGCAGCCCAGGAGCGGATGTAACTTGGGGACAGATAGGGAACATGCTTGACTTGCAGGGCACACCTGACCTAGGCCAGGACTGTGACTTGGGTGTGGAATGGGTAGTCGGGGTACGTAAACCATGGAATCTCTACGCCAGAGATGTTTCTGCTACCCTTGAATTTTTGTTTTATAAAATTATATCAGAATAGCTGACCTTTATTTCCCTTTTGGCATTGTTGGTCATGAACTGAACTTTGTTTCCCATCTCCACATCTGTTCTCTCCTAAGCTGCTATGTCTGTATTTTCTGGCATATTTAACATTGCTTTAGTGGATTTTGAATCCTTTTTGAATATGTGATAGTATGCACATGTCCTGGTGAGTATGTATGTATCTTTCTTAAGTGCTGGTATTGGGCTGTACTGCCTAGGTCAGTTATGAAGTCTTATTCTTAGGGGGAACATTAATAGATACTATTTAGATTTTATGACACCATAACATTTTTGTTGCTTTTTATAAAGAACATTTTAGAAAGCTTTTAAACATTAAATATTTTATTATTATACTTTTGGCTTGCATAAATGATGATTACTATGTAGACAAAAAATGTATATACATGTTTATTTACAAATTTATGTATATACAGAGGAGAATGGGAAAATGAGTATGATAATGCATATTAAGTGTATAAAATGATTCCCTGGCCGTCTAGTGGTTAGATCATGGTGCTTTCACCACTGGGGCCTGGGTTCAATCTCTGGTTGGGGAACTAAGATTGCGCAAGCTATGAGGCACAGCCAAAAAAAGGAAAAAAAAAATGTATAAAATGAGGAATTATCTATATTTACCTTTAAATGTATTTGTGTCTCAGCATATTTCTGTGTACTTTTATGTATTCACATTTGGATTTTTGTTATTAATTCAGACAAGTTCTCTAATTCTTCTGATAGCTGAACAGTCACTTGGTGTAATAGTGACCTCTACTGGTGAATATGCATTAAAAAAACTAAAATCTTAAAATATATTTGATTTGTGCTACTGTATATTTGATTTGTTTCTGATGAATATCACATTCCCTCTCTGTAAAAGAAAATATAATATATCTTTCCACTTTTAAAAATTATTCCAAGACACTCTTAGTGTAAAGATTTTTTTATAAAGGATAAATAAGTCAGTATGATTACCTTAAGAGAGACTAATTTACATGGAACATTTTAACTGATTCATTAACTGAGTTTACAGTAATGAAAATTATCCAACATCAACGGCTTACATTAGCTAATCAGTTCACTTCAGTTCAGTCACTCAGTCGTGTCCGACTCTGCAACCCCATGAACCGCAGCACGCCAGGCCTCCCTGTCCATCACCAACTCCCAGAGTTCACTCAAACTCATGTCCATCGAGTCAGTGATGCCATCCAGCCATCTCATCCTCTGTCATCCCCGTCTCCTCCTGCCCCCAATCCCTCCCAGCATCAGGGTCTTTTCCAATGAATCAACTCTTCGAATGAGGTGGCCAAAGTATTGGAGTTTCAGCTTCAACATCAGTCCTTCCAATGAACACCCAGGACTGATCTCCTTTAGGATGGACTGGTTGGATCTCCTTGCAGTCCAAGGGACTTTCAAGAGTCTTCTCCAACACCACAGTTCAAAAGTATCAATTCTTTGGCACTCAGCTGTCTTTATAGTCCAACTCTCACTTCCATACATGACTACTGGAAAAATCATAGCTTTGACTAGATGGACCTTTGTTGGCAAAGTAATGTCTCTGCTTTT